GGCAGGAGCTACAGGACTGGGGCTGGCTAAATCAGTGCAGATTATAAAGAACTTCTGAGTAGCATTTAAATTTCCTGCAAACATGTCAGAGGCATCGGGAAATGCCTGTAAACAGCCTTTTACATTCACTGGCAAACAAGAGTTAACGTGGCAAACGTTTTCCTTATGACAAAGAAAGTGTTTGACTTTTCTGCAGGGAAAGACAGTTTATAGGAAGTGCTAGAAAACACGGGGGTCAAGGAACTCTGAAGCACTGTCATAGGGAGAGGTGTGCTGAAAACGCGATTGGACCACGTTTTATTCACGGAGCCTACTAAAAAGTTGGGTTGATTGTGGGGAACATCTGCTTTCGGAAGACTGTGCTAATTTTGGGAAGCGGCTCAGCAGCCCTGCCTGCACATCTGCTAAATCTGGCAAACTGCCCCGTCTCCCGCCCTTCGTACTGGAGGATTTAATGAGATCGGGCTTTGAATGCCAGGGGCTACAGCTGGGTTTGTTTCCCGCTGACTCCTGACACTGATTTTTCTCCAGCTCTTCCTTTCTGTCATTCCCTTCATAAAGTGCTGACTAACACCCGTCAGAGGAGGTCCCGTTATCTGCATTCCCAGGATAAAATCCGGGTCAGTTTGGACCAGAAGCTCGTCTATAAAAGTGCACTACTGGCTCAAAACACACACGTTTCCTCTCTGGTAGGAAGCAGAGTAGGAGAAGAGGACGTGGGACTGAAGGATCCCACCTCGCTGGGCTCAGTGCATGCCATTCCGAGCAGGAAAATCATCTCAATTCCTTTAACAGAGCTTGCTAAATTTACCCTGAGGTTAGCTAGGTTATTTACGCTCGCTCCTAGACGGCTTCCCAAAGCCACCGTTTCCAGATTAGAAACCTCCTGGCCTCAGGACCACATTTATTCATGTCCTCTGCAAGACCCGTGTGCCACAACCACAGCACACGTCTCTCCTTTTGGAGCTGCTGAGTCTATCGCAGAAATTCTTGTCCTTAGCTTACAGGAATACAGGTTTCCACTGGTAAACTTCAGCCTCGAGGATTTATCAGCCTGGATTTATCTCCATGTTTTCCAAACTCTAATGCCTTTTATGAGCTGCATGTGTGTTTGATGGATGGGATCCTGCTGCTTGAGATCTGAAAGGGCTTGACGTATTCCAGAAAGACAAGCCACATAATTACGAGGTGGTGGTGCTGATATAGTTGCCTCCACAGGTTGAAACCACAATGCAAGACCAGAAACTCTCCTTGCACTGAGGTCAAACCACGCAGGATCCCAGAGGTCTCTGTATCTTCTGGGAGATCAAGCCGTATGACATCCAGCTGCATTACCACCACGTGGCCGCGCGGAGCAAGATGCCTAAACGACACACGGCCAAAGGGTGAGACCTGGGCTTGACCCCAGGCACTCGGAGTTCCGAAGAGCTTTGTGTTACCCCTACACAATCAGAGAGGGCCGGTGCCCTGGTTACTGGGCAGATCACTGCAAGAGAACGGCAACAGGCCACAAGAACGGAGAGACCTAGGCAAATGTAGAGAGAGGGAGCCCCACGCAGGGCTAGGGAAGGCCAAGGATGGTGTTTCCCATCCACAAGGAGATGGTGGCTCCAGGTCAAGGACAGTGTTTCCCATCCACAAGGAGATGGTGGCTCCACCCTGCTCAGAGGCCATGCAGATGAGCCAGGCTGATGGAGAAGCAGCCATAGGCAGCCCTGGGGAACACTGCTCCCACCTTCGAGATCCCACTGCGAGCAGCTCCACAGCAGCCACCCTTGGCAGCTGGAGGGAGGGCCCGGAAAGGCGGTGCCCAAAACACCCAGCCCGGTCACCGACCTCCATCCCTCGGACAGGCCCATGACAGACTGTCAGGGCTCCTCCCAAGGCCAAGAGCCACAGCAGTGACACATCTCACACAAATCTTTATAGATTGAAAGGGAACCTCACAAGGTTGCTCTGCTGAAGCTTATGAAGCCCTTGTTTTGAAGATGACACCCACTGGTGCCAGCGTGTCCTCATCTCCCTGCTCCTGTCTCTCATCCCCATTACCTGGGGACTGTGGAGCTCAGAGGAAGACAACTGCTCCCTTGTCTCTTCTCCTAAAACTACACTCAGCCACCTGACAAATGGGAATAGTTGGCAGTCAGATGGAATAAATCCTGGCTTGGGAATCCGCTCTTCTAAAATAAGGAAAATTAAAGGATGAGTTGCCCGACAAAAAAAAAAAAAACAGAATATGGCATTAGAGGCCAACATCTTTTTTTCTGTTCTGGATGTGTAATTTATTTTGTTGGTTGCAAAAACACTTTAAGAAGAATCAAAATCCAATATGATTCTTCAACAGCTTCTTCTACAGCAGTGAATTCTGTCTTATTTGGTGGGACTGCTCAGAGTGGCAATGGAAGCAGTTTCTTCACTCCTGAGAAGACTGGCTAATACAGTATACTCAAATGGGACCATTTCAAAAGGTATTTTGTCTGTCCTTAAGCTGCTAAAGAACTACGTTGTGGCTAATGGTAATTACAGGCCATCCAAGTGAGGAATAAGAAGCCTTTGAAAGAAAAATGTGTTTTCAGAAGAGATGAATATACTGCTTTTCTAATTGCATTTCAAAGAGCTTGGTTTTGAAAACTGAGATGCTTCTAAGGCAAATCCAAAGAAGCAGAAATAAGGAAATTATTCTGAAGAGCCCTTTTTAACCACTCCCACAATGAACTGCAAGCCCCACCATACTTTTACCTGAAATGAAACACCGTGAGAACGCTAAAGGAGAGGAAAAAACAACCCTTTGATAGGGTTATAAAAGATCTGAGGCAAGCACGATTGCAAATTTTTGCTTCTTGTTTCACCATAAAAGAGACAAAACATGGACCAAGCAGGGGCTCGATAGTAATTTTGCATGGGGGAAAATGGGAGTTTGGTCGCTATGTAGATACCTTTTCGATAGTGCATGAGAGTATGACCTGCAGGTGTTTTCTGGAAAGAAGATAAAGCTCCTGTATTAGATAGGAGCATGAGGCGAAGCTTTGAAGGAGGAAAAAGCGGTATTTTCGGCACCCACATTCAGGCTGCACTTGACCAACTGGTCTACCCAAATTCCAACTCACTTGGCCTGTTTGACGCATCCCGGAGCCACCCCAGCAACGATGCTGTCAGACCTGGATAAGAACAAGGGAGCACAGGGAGATGTAACTGCCTTCGCTATGGACTCACGACGCAGAACTCCATTTCCAAAAAGGAAACTGCCACCACAAACCATTTTTTTAATTAATTACCTTCTAAATTCCCACGTGGTGTTTTCAACCTTCGAAAATCTAAAGCATAAAGAAGGGCAAGCCGTAGAAAAAAAATCTGTGCACATCGCTGTGATATGCAAAACCATGTAAAATCCAACTACAGGCTTGTTACACTGACGAATGAGGCAGGAGAGAGAATTTATATTTTTTCCTGGTATTTTATAAAATATCCACAATAGGTTTCAAAATAACCTCAGACAGTACTTTCTGAGAACTGTAGTTGGCTCCATGCTGATTTTGCTATTTTATTACATGATGGAAATGACCTGTGGTTAGACATGTGTAATATAAACTGAACGAGATAATCTGAAAAAGGTGATGCTGCATTTCCATTTTTCTCCCTCTGGACTTCTTTCCAAACTGAAATGCACACTGCTACACTCATCTTGAAACACTTACTTACAAATTTGGACCGGCTTTATGAAACTGGAAAGCTCCCTGGAATAATTTTTGAGGAATCACATCAAAAAGAGCTGTCACAGACAAATGACTGGCACACTTTTGGTTGTCTTGATGATTTTGAATTATTATTGTGTTATGCAGTAGACTATGTCTTCCTTTTTTTTTTTTTTTTTTTTTTTTTTTTTTTTTTAATAATAACAACTTCTGTGCCTCACCTTCTCATAAAAACTGTATTTAACCCAGGCACTTTGCAATGCTCTTCCCTGATCGGTGAAATGCATACGTGAGCATCAGGTGTTTGTTTATCTGCTTAACGTGCGAGCCATTGCAATGAAGCACGGCGGCCATCCCACATTGCTGGGGAGCTACTCTCATGACTCACCGTCTGGTTGCTTGTCCTTTCCTCGGGTTCTGTAGTGTAAGAGAAGCAGTACACGGTAGGAGACTCAGAGGAACAGGCCACGAAGACATGGAGATGCTGCTTTGGTGCAGCCAAAATCTTCAATGTGATAAACACGCTGAGGGGCCCCACACCATATCACAACCCGCTGGTTGGACACTAAAAAGCCATGACTTAGCCCAGGCACTTAAAACACCTCCTTCCTCTCATTCCATGCATTCCGCTTTCCGCATCGGTTTTAAAGCCTTTGCCTCAACCACTCGTCCTTTGGCAGGTCATGCCAGGACCACTTTGCATCTTTTGTCCATAGTACAAGAGATGGGTCAGGGAAAGGCCTTACAACTGAATGTTGTCACCAGTTGACTCGATATACTGTAGTTCAACTCAATATTCCATAGCTCGACTTGATATTCCACAGTTTCTCTCAATAAACCGTAGTTTGGCTCAATACATCGCAGTTTGACTTGATAAACCATATCTTGACTTGATAACAAACCGTAGTTCGACTCGATAAACCATAGTTTGACTTGATATACCCTAGTCTGAGTCAATATACAATAGTTTCTTTCAGTAAACCACTGTTGGACTCAAAATATACCAGCTTGACTCAAAAGAACAAGTTTGGTTCAATATGCTGTAGTTTGACTTGCTAATAAACCGTAGTTTGACCCAATATACCTCAGCTCAACTCGATATACCACAGCTTGACTCAATATACCTCCGTTTGACTCAATACACCATAGTTCAACTGCATATACTGTAGTTTGACTCAATATACTGTCATTCAACTTGATAATAAACCATAGTTTGATTCAATACACCATAGTTTGACTCAACAAATCATAATTTGACTTGATACACCGCAGTTTGTCTCGATATGCCATAGTGTGACTCAATATACCATGAAAACCAAGTTATCCGGAGGAAATAACGGCAGCAGGAAAGCCCGGCACAAAGGTAAGGAGGGTAAAGACAAAGTGCCTGCGCTTTTGTCGCAGTGCTCCACAGGACGCGTGTGGGGGCAACCCAGCACCTGTTTTCTCTTGGACTATGAGTTTTTTGTTCATCCTTCCTGAGCGCAGACCTTCCGCTTCCCCGCAGCTGCCCCGCGATACCCTTTTAGCGGCGACGGGGACACCCGCATCTCCTTGGGAGGAGACACCTCCGCCTCAGCTCCCCAGGGACCCCCGGCTCCTCAGGGTCCCCAGGCTCCTCAGGGTCCCCAGGCTCCTCGCGGACTCCCGGCTCCCCCACAGACACCCGCCCTCGCGGACTCCCGGCTCCTCGCGGACTCCCGGCTCCTCGCGGACCCTGCCCTAGCCCCGCTGCCCTC